TTTATATTAAGATTTCATTCTTCTTTTTCTTTTTTTTCGCCGTGGGATTCATTCACAGCATTAGTTCATGGACTGGTAAAATGCCTTCGAGGCTATATAGTACAATATAAAATTCATATATTACACTTTAATATCAGGTAAGCAAGTCATAACTTACATAGTCAATATAAAAAATGGTATTCCTCGTAGCCAATCAACTGGTTGCATATTAGCACTTTTTGCAACAATTTGGTAGCAAAATGTCGATCAATGTCGAACCCGTATTTGCCAAAAAATGGCACTTGTCTTGTCTCATAAAAGAACAGCATCACAAAAGTTCAGCAGAGGAGCGAATTGCTATTAAAATTGCATTCTCTTGTGTCCACAAAATAAAAAAAAAAATCCAAAGCAATTTCAGCCATGAAAACTATATAAAAGAGCTCATAAAATTGCAGCTGTTTACATGCCACCTCGCTCATTTTCATATTTCTGCGAATTGCAATTCCATCGTCGTTCATTCAAATGCAAAGCGATTCGAGGCGTTGATGGCGGAGTGTATGCGTTTCTGCGTTACTATAGTTACATTTTAAGTTATTATGTATTAAAAAACTCAGTGTGCGTACAGAGAAGGGTACTGTGACAAAGAAGCAGACATACACAAGCACAAACTTTCACATACCAAAATGGAGAAATTCTTACTCCTTCGAGGTGTCAAGTGCCTTAATTTGCACAAAATTAGCGAAAGCGCATCCATTTAATAAAAGCACCTGAGACAGACAATGTTCAAGCGAATGACACTTACTTGAGAAATACATACATACATATGAGTGAGTGAGCGAGTGATTGAGTGAGTGATGGGATGTATTACCAACGAAATGAATTAAAGCATTATGAGACCTCCGAGAAATTGTGTGGATGATTGCAACGTCACTCGCTTTACATTTGAAGTAAAATTTATATATTAAAAGTCTTATTACATTACCAGTTGCATGCTTCAGGTAAAGAAAAGGAGTTTACTTGTTCGAATATATGGAGGTAATGATATTTTATGGACCATTTTCAAACCAAGAATTAGTGTTTACTTGCGTTACAATTTCGGCACAAAGTATTTATGAAAATTCATGCGAAAGTTTTCTAAAGAATTAATTTTTTGATTTCAGGATGTTATTAGGAGTTAAATTTTATCCTTACAAAAAAAAATAAATATAGAAATCGATTAACGTGGTCTAAACATAAAGGAGTTATGTCGCAAAAATGTGTGTCTGAAAAATCAGTGGTATAGGACATGGTTACGGTGACCATATTAACCATTGCAAAATAAAGGACATTTTTTTCAAAATGATTTGGGAATACGTACATACAATTTGTATGATTGAAGTACCTTATCCATGTCGTAACTTAAATCAAATATTTGCCAGTTAATTATATTATTTAATTGCACAAGTTCTCTGTAGCGAAAAATTAAGCCAAATCCTTTTCAAGGACTTCGCCATCCTTTTCTTCCAAAATGCGTTTACCATAACTCATACTGCGCGACGAAGCCAGCACAGAGTGGTTCAAAATTGGAATGTAATGTTCATAATGCACCGGCGCCTTAATTTTTCCCCAATTTTTACTAAAAACCAAAAAAAAATTTATTTTGGTGAAAATTTTTTTACATTTTAAATTTTTTTTTTGTGCATTTTTTTTTGGTTTGGGAGAACCATAAACTTGTTTTCAACTATTTTTTTTTATGTAACATTAACTGCAACAGCAGAACACATTTTCTTCAAAATTCCTACTTTATATGCATTTTGCACCAAAAAATCTAATTTAATCAAATAAAAGTTAAGAAATCAGGCTCAACTGGTCTCTTGCAAATATCGTAAGCTTTCATAAAAAAAAATAGAAATTAGACAAATTAAGTGAAAAATGAAGGCTCCAGTGAATTACGAACACTAAATGTCAGTTTTGAACCACTGTGCAGCGGGGGGTTTATTGTTCTCTTTCAGTGGAACTGGAAACTCAGCGTGCAACACGATCCTGGGCACAACTTTCCCTGTGCTTTATAGATTGTACAAAGATTACGGATTAAATAGAAACCCTTAAGTGGGGTCCGAAAGAAACTGGCGAAGGTTTTCATTATATTTTATAAGGGACATTTTTATTTTTCATATTCTACGTTTAAAAATTTACCTCTGAAAAAATGCAGAGCCGATTTAAAGGACAGTTTAAGAAATAAAAGACAAAAGGCGTCCTTTATTTTGAAAAAAATTATATAGAACAGGGGGTTAAAATAAAGGACTGTCCTTTAAAATAAAGGACGGATGGTCACCGTAGACATGGTCAAATCGGGCCAGCTCGACGCTCTGGTCATATAAGTATACATTTTCAAGGGTATATCTCTTCGTATTCTGGTACTAACAAACATCGGACCAAAGTTATAATACCATTTCATGCTCATTAAAGGTATAAAAAGAAAACATGGTTTTCCGACGAATTGATAACCTCCGCCTTCCTTGAAGTCAGTTAACAAATGAAAAGCAAAAATGTTGTGTATTTCTTTCTCGGAACGTCTGTGATTTCAACTTGTCGCATCTAAACATCGGGTTTACCTAATTTAAGAAATTGTTTTATCTAAATGGTATAAACGGAATGTAACAGATAAGTCAAAGCTTGCATTCGAAAATATTAAGACGCATAACCAAAATATTTTGTTGCCTTATAAAAACTAGGAGTTTTTTGTTCACATCAGAGTAGGTTGTACTACTAAATAAAAGGAATAGGAAAGGTAAACTGCACTGTAGGCTTTTGTTAACGTCTTACCAGGCTCAAAGGAGCCTTGAAAAGTTTCCCATTGATACCTCTCAGCTCTAAAAATAAATCTAATCTATCTTTCCGCTAAACATGTACAGAAATGCAGTATTAAAAACGTGGGAGGATTTAGAGATATCTACTCTTATCATATACATAGATCAAAATTCACTCAGAAAAATAGTATACAAATCGGTTAGCAGAAAAATGGCTTATATGCAATAGAGGCAAGCTCTCTATAATATCGGTGAGTAAAAATTTTTGGTGTATTAAACTATGTGGTTAATATTTTTCCAACACATACACACTGATACATATGTACATGCATACATACCCTACAGGGAAAGCTATTAGTTGTGAACTAGAATTCCACCAGTTTGCGTTTCAGCCCAACTAGTTCACGTTCTATCCTTTTTCAATGTTAGCGACTGGCGTAGGGAAAATTTTTTTAATATTTTTTTTAATATTTTTTTTCACTTAGGGTTTTTATTGTGCTTTTTAAATTTAATTAGAAAAAAACTATATTTTTTTTGTGGCACAAGGTTTTCTTCCAATATGTTTGTTTTTCTGCAATGCAATTAGATTTTCAAATTTGTTATTTCTATTTAAATTGGAATAATTTTTATTTTTTATTTACCCTTGATTTAACTTTAGAAATCTCAACCACCTGCTAACGGCCTCGAACCCGCGATTTCAGAACCATAATCAGTAGTCTTCACGTGACGCCACAGCCGACATTTGTAAGAAAAGCAATTACATAATTTTTGGCTTTGGCAATTCAAAGGCAGACGTCGCTGAACGCTTAAGTTCTGCGAAATTGTCGAACTGGTAAGCACATTCGATTTAATGAACTAGTATTTTTTCTAACTGATGTGACTTTTCACTACCGGGTATGTTCACCGTTCTATTTATCCTTGTATGTTATGCTGTATTTACTTTCTTTCCATCTATTGGAAAGTAGTAAGTTTGGTATTGAAGAAGTTAGTAGATGAATCGATTTTTTTATTGGAGTAATAAATTGTCAGATACTTTTTGAAAGCATCAAAGATCATTGACAGCATGACTCATCCGGCTATAGTTGCGGAAGCAGTATTGCGGTAATAAACCACTTCCGCTATTGCTTTCATTTTTATTTTTATTATATTTGCAGCATCGTTATTGCATCGATTATTGGCTTCTGCTTCAGCATATCAATCAAATTGTGGACAACAAGAATGCTGAAAGTAGATTATTGCATTCCATTCATTCGTTAATAGCACGAAAGCATGACTGTACTCAGCCCTCGGCGGGGTTGTTGGCGTGAAATTCATACGTACCTACATTGGCTACTAAATAGGCGTAAATTGGATTATTTATACAGATAAATTGCGAGTACGTACATGTGTATGTAAACATAGACATACATACTTATTTATTACTTATAGTAGGGGAGCCCAGGAGGTGATTTGGGGATTTACCCAAGTGCGGCAGATTTATATACGAGTATATATATATTCCGTTTAATGCCCCCCTTATACATCCCTAAATATATGTATATATTCCGGGTGTGTATCTTATGTAATTCAAATAACTTGCAGATATATTTCATCTGTCCTATTTCCCAACATCTTCCATTAACAATTCCATTTGTGTGGTGAATAATTGTTTTTGCATTGCAGTTTAATATGTTTTTCACGATATTGGAATGGAATATGAGTAAAATTTTTAGAGTTTATCTAGGTATTTACATAGTGTAGTACGTATGTGCACAAATGCACACATACATACGTACGACCTAGAACATATACATATGTATGTATGTACGTTCATGAAGTTCTCGAATCAGCGTTACTTTAAATGGCATAGACGTGCTCGTCCGCAGCACATTTATTTCCCATTTTTCGTTCAATGGCATGCGAGCAAAGGAAATCAAAAATCCAATCACGTTACGTTAGTGCCTTTTGGATTTAGTTTTATTAACTGTTAATACTAGTTGCCTGACGAAGATGTTATCTATGTAAACATTGCTCTTTTGTGTGGATATATATTTTTAAAATGCGGAAGCTATGCTGTCTACTGCATATCCAGTGGCCAAGATTGCAACAACTTTG